TGGATTTCTCCATGGAGCTGCTCGAAGAACAACTAGACCGAGGAGGACATGGACTACATGAACATCCAGACACAGCAACCTCATGGAACCTGGAGTCCGTCCAGAAGTTTCTTGAACGAGATGAAGTGTTGCTGGTGAAAGCACACCTATGTCGCTTTGGACTCCGGCTTCGAGAACGATTGAGTCGGAAGTCAACCTTGTTTGCTACAAGCCCTGATCACATTGCCACTCATTTGCAAAGGTTGTGCCAGTGTACCTCACCACATGAACCACTGGTCAATGGACTTCCTCACGAAGCTGAAGAATATCCTCCGGAATTGGTCAAGGCCATTGTGGATGCTTTGATCGAAGAGTGGCGTGATCAGCAGAAAGGTGTGCCTACATGACTTCCCACTCGAGAAGATTTGGAGCAGTGGTTGGATAGCCTTGGACCTCGAGAAGACTTCAGGTGGCATCGATTTCATGAGTGTGCCATTTTGGTGATGAAGAAGCCACTGTCAATTCCCCAACGAGGCCCTGGGCATCGAACTGTTCGTTGGAGGTGGGTGCGAAACGTTTGGGATGGAAAATGGATGCAGCTGGAACGAGCCAAGACTGGCAAGCCTAAAGATTTGGAGGTAAACTACCAGCACATGATCATCCTGTTCCACCATCCCGAGCTGGTCAACTCCACCTATATCAACACCAATGCTGTGTCCACCACCGAGAAACGGATGATCCTCAGAGCCCATGTGAACCTGGGACACCCTCAGGTGAAAGAGTTTGTGAGATTGTTGAAGGCTGCTGGCACCCGTCCTGACATCATTGAGTATGTCCTCAAGGAATTCAGTTGTGAAGGATGCCTGAAAGAGAAACGGCAACCGACCAAGCTTCCAGCAGCTACCCCACGAGTCTACGACTTCAACATCGCCCTTGGAGTTGATATCCTGTTTGTGACTGGTGCATCGCCCTTGGAAGAGCATCCTGTCCTGAACATCACATGCTTAGGACCTTAGGAACGCTGTACTCCACCTTCAGCATGGTGCACCCAACAAGGAGATCTTCATCATTGGTCTGGAGCACGTTCCTACAGATCTGGGTCAGAGCTTTTGGAGCCCCAAGCTTTGTGCTGTCAGACCAAGGTCTGGAATTCCAAGGTGCATTTGTTGAAGGGCTCGAAGAATTGGGAGTCCAACATGTGCTCATTTACAGGGACTCACCGCATCAGAACAGCATCACTGAACGCCGTGGAGGACTTTTCAAAGAAGTCTATTACAAAACAAAGGAATTGCGGCAGCCAAGTGACATCACTGAGGTCCAGGACATGATCCACCAAGTGTCATGGTCATTGCAAACAATGGTGAGCCGCTCTGGATTCTCACCTGCTCAACGAGTGTTTGGTAAACAACCTGTTGCAGCAATGGAGTTCACCAACGACCATGGCATCTTTGACAAGACGTTGTCTCCTACAGCTGATGCTGCCTGGGACAGAGCAAATGAGATGAGACAGGCTGCGCGCAAAGCATTGATTGAGATCGACGGCAAAGAAAGACTTCAAAGAGCGATCCGAGGCCGTCCACGAAAAGCTCGTGATGACCACAAGTTTGACCCCGGAGAACCTGTATATGTTTGGCGGCAAGGCAAACGAGGAGCACATGCCAAAGTTGGACCGTGCTTTGTGGTCCTTCAAGATGGAGAGACAGTTTGGGTGACCCGCCGTGGAGAACTATGGAAATGCAGCCGAGGACAAGTCTTTCCCATGGGCAACCTGGAGAGGCAAGGATTGGAGGTGATTCCATTGGAGTTGCTGCGAGCAAAAGAGAAATTGAGATTCCACTCCGAGAAGCTAGGCTACATCGACGTGGAACGTGAAGGAGATCCTCCACCTGAAGAAGTTGAAGTACCTGAACAACCTCCGGTGGCGATTCATCGCAGAGTGCCACCAACTCCTCGGCCCGAGGACCTGCCAGAGGGGCTCCTGCAACGCCTCGAGGACCCCCTGAAGGACAGAAAACTTCTGTCCCTCAGACACCTGCGATCACGGCAGCACCGGCGACGCCTGCACCAGCATCTTCAGCAAGAAATCAGCTAAGGTCAAGATCCCCACTCCGGGAAACCAGAGTGATCGATGTAGATGATGATGAAGACCATGTGCAGGACGAGAACTTTGGCAAGACTACAGCGACTTCAAGCGCACCGCTTTTGAAACCAAAGACGGTGACTCCGCCCATGACTATGCCTCCGCAACCTACTCCATTGCCGAGAGCTACACCAGCTTCAGCTCCATCTACCACTCCGTCTTCTGATGTGGCTACACCATCGACGACCTCTACAGCCATGCGAGATGCCGATGAGCTGTGGAAGGCGACCATTGAGAATCAGAGATCAAGAGATGTCGCCACTGTGGAAGAGCAATCGGAGCCCCATCAAGAAGCTCTGGAGGTTTGGCGCCGCTTTGACCTGGACGCCAAAAGATTCCGTGGAAGCACAAGCAAAGGACCTGTCTGGAGTGACGTGACACGTCGAGTGACGCCGGACATTGACACCAACCAGATCATCGCCGATGAGCAGATCACTCCTGGGATGACTGTGCACCAGGTACACCGGAAATTGCCGACCGGTGTCAAGAACATCGAGACCATGCTCATCTACAAGAAGGTTTCTGGACATCCACAACCGGGTGAACCATTTGATGAGCAGAAGCTAGTTGCCTCACCTTCGAAAGCATCGCAGAGTTCAGAAGCTCCCATCCTGGGACGAGAGGAGGACTCACGGTTGATTGATGTGGGTCTCAAAAGAAGTTTGGATGAGCCAACCTTTGACAGAACATCACAACGATCAAAGATCTTTGGCCTGTGGCGAGCCGATGACCACACTGAATGGGGCGACAAGAAGCGACACCCTGTGATTGCCAACTGCAGGGACCTCAAGCTCTTTCATCGCCTTGAGACCGCTGACATGTACTACGCCCTCCTGGAACCTGAGAGCTCGCTGACCTACTTGACCAAGCAAAGTGGAAAGGAGCTCAATGAAAAGAAGATTCCAGCGCATGAGCGAAAGCTCTTCGACAAGGCCAAGATCCTCGAGATCACCAACCTGGTCAATTCTAATGCCATCCAGATTGTCGGATCATGCCTTCAAGATTCATTGTGACCAAGAAGGCTGGCGAGATTGGTGAAGACTGGCGTGCCAAGGCCAGGTGGATTTTGTTGGGGCACAAAGATCCTGATGCCCTACAGCAAGAAAGGTTTGCTCCGACCCCATCATCGACGACGGTGATGCTGTGCCTCCAGATCATTGCATCCATGAAGTTTGAACTTTACATCACGGACGTGTCCTCTGCCTTTGGTCAGTCCGACCCTCATGAACGCGAGCAAGGACCTTTGTTCGCGGCTATGCCACCTACCGGGATTCCCGGCTATGAGCAGAACTGCCTCATCAGGGTGGTGACAGCAGTCTATGGGTTGGTGAATGCGCCCGCTGTCTGGCGCAAAACGGTCAGGCGACATTTGGTTGAGTTGGGCTACGCTGAGAGCGTCTTTGACCCGTGCCTGTTTTACCTCTGGCCAAATGATGATGAAATCGCCAACGGCCCTGAGCTGCAAGTGGCAGGCATTGTACTGCTGGACGTGGGTGACTTTTGCCAAGGAGGTGGTCTACGACACCAAGAGCTCATGTCCCAGCTCCGGACTCGCCTCAAGTTTGGCAAGTGGAAGAACGTCCACAAGAGCAGCGCAGAGTACATTGGACGAACCCTCACTCAGTTGGAGAACTTCGAAATCCAAGTCTCAATGAAGCGCTACATTCAGGAGAAGTTGAAGGCCGTGACCCTCGACAAGTCCCGGCTGAAGGATAAAAGTTCACTGCTCTCCGAACAGGAGATCTCATGGCTGCGGGGAGTTGGAGGTTCGCTGCTTTGGGTAGGAAAAGAAGGACGCCCAGATGTTGCTGCTGCCTGCGCTATGTCAATGTCTTGGAGCGCTGGCGGACCCACTGTCGAACACATCCTGGCAGCGAATAAAACAGTGAATGAACTCAAGCAAACTCCTGATGTGGTGCTCCGGATCATCCCGATCGATCCGGCCTGTGGCATTTGGATGAGCATTGCTGATGCTAGCATGGCGAACGTCGACAACAAGTCCCAAGGAGGCTTCATCATGGCCATGGCTGACCGAAGCATCTTGGACGGTCAGAAAGCAGCGTTCAGCATCAATTCCTGGAAGAGCCACAGATTGAAGAGGGTGGTCAAGGCGACACTTGGTTCAGAAGCCTTGGCAATGGATGATGCGCTGGCCGAGATTGAATGGCTTCGAGCGTTTTGGCATGAAGTGATGGACCCAGCTTCGACCGTGGTTGGGCAGCGAAGATTCCATCCTGGTGGTTCGACTTCCTGAAGAAGAAGCCGAAAGTGTTCGATCCATCAGGATCAAAGATCGTGCCACAGGAGCACATGTGACAGATGCAAAAGCGCTCTTCGACCTTTTGGCCCGCAGGAGCGGGAATGCCGGCCACGACCGCCGGGCCCAGATCGACGTGGCGGTGATCCACGTTTCGGCAGCTGCTCTGAGGGTGAAGACCTTTTGGGTCCCCGGCACACAGATGCTGGCAGATCCGCTCACTAAGCGTTTGGGCAATTCGGCCCTCCTTCGAAAGGCGATGTCAGAAGCGACATACGCCCTGGTTCGGCAGGAACCGTGATGGAGCTGGAATCACCCCCTGAAGGATGTGGAAAACCATGCATGTTAGCCCAGCACCATCACTGATCCTTCCGTGCCCCTTCGGCCCAAATCGACCGACAGGGCCCTTGAGCCTTCCCTTTGAGAAAAGGGGCGTTTTGCGAGTCTCCGCACTTCACAGTATACTTGTATATTGTAAATAGATAATGTATGTATATATATATATGTTGGTTGGTTTATTTCTAGGTTGCCGTCCTTCCTTGAGATTGCTCAGCAGGGAGTGCGGGTGTTGGAACCTCACACATGCCGCATGTCTGTGTTGCTACGCGCGCCTCAAAATTTCAGGCCTCGGCGGGCTCCATTTTCAAAGGGTCTCGGAAGGACCTCAGGCTCGAGGGCTGGGTGGAGCTTAGTACCAGGGTGGTGCGCAGTAGCAAGAAGCTCAGCAGGATTTCATTGAACCAGTACTGGCGATGTAGTAGGGCAAACAGTTTGCACTTGGCTAGTGTTTCCAAGTGTCCTGGCCTGGAAATTTCCAAGATGCGACAGACACACACTTAGATCCATGCTCGCAAGAGCTATTCCAGTTTGGAAAGTCCCGAGAGCTAGTTACTGAATACGTCGCGCTTGACATGCAGAGCCGTGAAGGTGAAGGAGTCCGCATCAACAGTATGGTTTGAAAAAGGACGCACTAGCACTTTACATGGAGGTTGGTGTGACAGCTTGAAAGCACCACAACAAAAGACTGATGCGTAGCCACCAGCTGCGAATGACTATAACTGAACACCATAGCTTTGTTAGCGCGGCTAGGTGGACAGTCGCCGTGCCCCCTGCTTGTTTGTACATCGAATTATTACAGTTAGTGAGTTAGAATTAGATACTGTGGTCGTGCTCCTTGGAGACCGGAGTTGGCACACAAACACACACTCATGGATATGCGTACTGATGTGAATGCGGTGCCACACGCCGGCCTAGGGTTCCAATTCCTAAGAGTACCAGTAGGAAACCATCGAATCCTGGTGGTCTGAAAAGGAAAGGAGGCCCAAAGCGCAAGCACCAAAACGACGAAGTCGATCCGACAGAGTGACGGCGTTCCGTGTAGGTCTGCAGCAACAAGAAATGCATGTCAGTGAGGTTCTTGGCTTAGCCTCTCGCCATTCAAAGTGGAAAATTGCAGGTACACAAGAAGGCGTCCCTTCTCGCTTCACCAGTTGTGAGTCCGTCTTCGTTGGTCCAGGGACAACTCACAACTGCCTGGACCCCCTGCGGAAACTGAAAAATGCAAAAGCAACCCTATGATTCCAAGGGGTACACACACACGCCTCCCCGAAGGGAGGCAGGATTTTAAGCTCCGTGCCGAAGGTGTGGTGAGACTAAGAGAACTGCCGGATCTCACGGTAGGTCTGGTAGGCAGTCAATGGAAGTCGAAGTTGACCAATGGCATCATCATGAAGGCGAGGAGCGACTGTATGAAGAGGTCGGTAAGGAAAAGGAACAGATTCGCGGGGATATTCAGTAGAGGAGCCAAGGGGGCGAACCCGGCGTGAATTGATAAAGTAAAGAACGAGATCTTCGAGAGTGCAAGTGTGAGGGACTTCCCAAACTCGTGAATCACCGGTTGAGGGGAGGGCCATCCAAAAGGCCGAACGATGTTGGCCCAGGCGGGAGTAGATCACATCCTTAAGGTCGTCAACGGTGTATTCCTTGGTGTCAATCTGGTGCCGGTCTAGGGTCACTGTAATGTAGTTCAGGGGTTGATAGACGAGCAAGCTGACATCCAATTCAAATCGGACAGTAGAGAGGTCACACACCATGTCCAGTGTTTCGAAGGGTTGACGGACTTCACTCCACGACGTACGAGATGTGGGAATCGTATGAGTCAGAGGTTCAGGTACACGAAGTCCCGGGGATGAAATCATGAAGAAGAGGAAACGGCAATGCTGGGAGTGAGCGAGTAAGGCGGAGCCAATGGCTGCGGAAAAGAGCAGGAAATATATAGAATCAAAGCAGCAAAAACGCAAGAGATCAGAATAAAAGTCTACGTGAGAGAGAGGTGAGGATCTTTTCACACCATAGCGAAGAGGGGCGAGCGATGCAGATCTCCAACTGTTGTCAATCACGAGGACGTTCCAAAGGAAATGGAGGTTCTAAAGTATTTTGAGATTCAGTCGATGTGGAGTTCAATGACATAGATGCTGAATCAGGTAAAGGAAGCGGAAGTCCGGTGCCATCGCTAATGGGATCAGAGGGAGGAAATTGGTCCGGAGGAGCCGAAGAAGCCGCAGTTGACTGTCCGAGTGGAGCATCAGGTCGATAGGACTGTTTAAGTTCATCACTATATGAAGTGAGAGTGTGGACGACCCCAGTAATGATTTGTTCTTGTTGTGGGGCAGGTAGGCCCTGTAGCATAGGAACCTTGGAGACGTCAAGATGACGGAAATTGCGCAGGAGTTCTTCAACCTGGTACTGAACGCTGAGATGCTCCAGATTCTCGACAGCATGTCTCTTTAGGCCTCTGTTGGGAACGGGGTTGTCATCAAGTTGTTGGGTGGCGGCAAGAGCTGCTTCTTCAGCTGCAATGCGTTCTTCTTCTTGACGAAGGGCAGTTTCATATCGTTCGCATTGTGTCCAAATTTCATAGCTCTGATTGGCAGAAAGCACTAGTTGCCAGCCGCGAGTGCCCCAAATGCGTGAAAATATATTTGGCCAATGAGAAGCGGGGTGATCATCAATGAAGTACCCGGTTGCAGATTTGAAGAATTCAATGTCGTCGTGATTCCACGGCAGAGTCTTGTGGTGGAACCAAGCGCGATAGAACCAATAGCGGTGAGTGTGGGATCGACGACAGGTCCATTCTTCAAAAGGTTCAGCAACAGGCCAAGCTCCGTGAGTGAAATTGTGGACTTGACGAGTGTAGTCATTGAAATCCTCGTTGTACTGATTCTCAGAGCGAGGGATGCTCAACACAAGAGCAGGGTCTTGATGAGGGAGAGTATCATCGAGAGGAGCTTGCGTCGGGGAAGAGTCCTCGGAGGGGACATGAACATCTTCTGGTTGAAGTTCCATAGTATCGATCGAGTCAGGTAGGAGTCAGGTAGGAAAAGTACCGAAATAGAACCGAAAGGCTGCGGGAGAAATGATATAAAGACATGAACTGAAAATAAAGAACATCAAGGTGAATCCATGGCCCAAGCGGAGCATCCGTTGTTTTCAGGAAGCAATGGGTCGAAAGGGTGAATTTGAGTGAATTAGGGTGTGGCCTCAGGCAAACGGAAAGGCCGGTTTGGCCGAGGAATCAGAAAGGGTATCTCCTCACCGTTGAGCTTGACAAGCAGGCCTACCAAAGGTCGGTCGGCGTTGTGAGTAGCATCAGTCGCGTGAAGGTGAATCACTGAAGGTGTACTCGTCCTCGAGGGGTGTACAGAAGTCGAGGTAGTCCTCAATGAGGTAGGCGGTGTTGCCGGACGGGCTTTCTTGGGAAAGGTAGTAGAGATGAGAAGAGGTTCGTCTGAGTCCCGGAGATGGGAGGCCATAGATGGTCGAGAACGTTTGGTAGCCGTCGTCGATGTGGTGGACATCTGGCGCTTGAAAATCGTGAGTAGAAACAGTGAGACGAAATTTGGGCCAAGAGGCTGAGGTGAGGCGAAAAACTCCTCGAAAAGGAGAAGAGAAAAGAAAGGAATAACGGAGCAGCGCAAAGAAAATCCAGAAAAGAAAGCAGCGGCGGTCTTTTCCACTAAGCGACATGATGAGGGCACAAGTCCACGGTGAAGATTATGATGAAGCCCGCTGTTGTAGTTCGAGAAGTTCAGCCCAACGAGCGCGGATCTGGGACTCCGGGCGCTCCATTTTGGTAGTGATGTAGCGCCAACTGGGTCGAAGTCTTTCGTTGCCTTTGAGGCTGATAAGAAGATCATCGTCTTTGGTACTCCAATCGTCATCCCAAGAAGTATCTGAGTGGTATCGGGGGGAAGGAGAAGGAGAGGGAGAGGAAGAGGGAGGGCGGCGTTTGCGGGGACGAGAGGGGAGTGGGCCGTGGGGAGCAGAGGAGACGAGGGAGCAGGAAGGGGAAGGGGACGGGGGAGGAGGAGGAGCCAAAGAGGAGGGGGGTGGGTAAGCGAAGCCAGGAGGAGAAAGAATGGGGGAGGGAGGAAAGGAGAGAGGAGGAGGGGAGGAAGGAACGACCTCATCAGCGACCTGGAGGGAGAAAAAGGGGGAAAAGAGGGAGGGGAGAAAGGAGAGGGGAGAGGAGCGAGAGCGGGGGAGGAAGGGTGGTGGGGAGAGGTGTGCTTCTCAGCCATTGATGTCATTGTCGGCGATGGAGTCTTCTGACGAGGCATTGAGAGTACCGGTTGTTCACAAGGTGCCCAGCTGATCGAAGGTATAGTGCTCGTACAAAATAGCGGTGAGGCAGGGCTAGCATGTGGTCTGGAAGGGCAAGAGCCGGGAGTCAGATCTGCAGGAGAAGTAGACTCCGGATTCTGGATCATCTCAACCAGTAGGCGAAGTGCGACGATGACAATGTTCAGTTGTGTCGCAATTGTAGAAACAAGGTCGGAGGTGGTCGACTGCGACATAGCCCAGGTAAAGGTGCGAGGGAGGATGAAGATCGTACAGTTGAGCCAAGAAGCTGAAAATTGAAAAAGGAAAAGGAAGAAATCAAAAGGAATGAGTTGTGAGTAAAAATTCGATCAAATGTTGGCTATGTTGGCGCAAGGGATCTTTTTAAGCGAAGATTGAGCTCATGTGCTGCATCAAGAGAAACTGAGAAACCGAAGGTGGGTGTGAAGATCTCGTCGTGGTAGATGGAAGCGATGACAAAGTTGATGAAGGAGCGGCAGGAGTTGAACCATAGTGAAGGCTTTGTCAAGGTATTGTTGGGTCAAGTCCGTGAGTTGAGGAAAGATCAAGTCCCGAGGGCGAGTCAGGCGGCAAATCAAGATGCCCCGTGTGAAGAAACCAGCAAGAGCCATTTCTGGAGACCCCGCAGTACGATTGCTCCGGATCAGTGTAAGGTGAGGTGGTTGTCGAAAGGTGATAGTGCGTTGAGAGGTGGAAAGAGCAAAGCCGAGGAGGGTCTCATCAGCGACAAACTCCATTTCAAGTGGTCTGCCATAGAAGAAGGGTTGAGCAATGGCCTTGAAGGAGTCGGTGTGGAGCATGTGGGCAGGCCCAATGAAGAAGACATTGTCAACGTAGCGTGCCCGTAGTGCCAATCCCGTGGCATAACGCCAGGAAGAGCTGGGGAAGGAGCTTAGAAAGCAGTATTCCCGAAATAGTGCAACAGCGCTGCATAGGGCCGGTGCTAAAGGTGAGCCCATGGAGGCTCCTTGACATTGCCGAAAAACGGTCAAGCCCACGGTGAAGTAAGAGGACTCAAGCAGGTGGA